TGGAAAGATGTTTTTTGACCTGAAGCACAAGACAGTGTGGAATGAGATCAAGACCTCAACACAAAGTAGTCTGTGAACCAACATGTCATAATACAAAGGAGATCTGGACAGGCGCAGTATTTAGATTAAGATGTCTTGACTATAATGTATTATTTCCTTACTACATTTGCAATTTCTGTCATCTTTATCCAGAAGGCCCTTTAAATTAATAACATTATTCTGAACATCACATGAAAGGCGAGCATAAACAGAAGTTTTATAATTATAGCTGTGTAACAAGTTGACAAGACACAATCATGCAGCCTAGCAAGCAGTTTTTTAAACATCAGCCAAAAAAATACCAGAGAAAGAAAGACAGATACTGCAAGAAGTCATCAAGAACCCAAATCTGCAAGTGAAAACTACTTGGAGAGTATCAGTTTAGCACAAACAGAGCAGGCCATTTGGCTATAAAACAGATTTTAAAAGCTTCCAAACTTTTGCATACATGTGCAACACTGAATTGCTATGAAACTCCAAAACATCTGACTGAACTGATTTTACAAATCTTGCTGAATGACTGTATAAATACAAAGCTAATGTACTCAATTTCCAAATAAAAAAAGTCTTCAGAAATCTTTCCAGTCCCACTACCTTCCTATCACCTAATTTAAAGATTTCCAAGTAGGTCCCTATGGAGCTTAAACTAATTCAGAGACATTAATATTAGACTTGCAAGAGCAGCAAGACAAGCATCATTAATTTATGTAGTCCTAAACTTTACTGAAAAATTAGATCTACCATTAAAAATATTACTAATTAGTTGTAACAGAAACTGAGCCCTACTGCTTTCAGGACTAGAGCTACAGCATGTCTCTTAAAGAAGGCATTCAACAGCTAACTTTAAGTCAAGGAAGCCAATCTCTTTGGACTTTCTTCAAGGAAACAGGGAGAGACTAATCAAAGCCTCAGTACCCTAAATTTATGTAGCTAGATTTAAAGATATTTATGTCAATTTGTCCATTCCATCCCCAGTGCAACTTCAATCCAAGAAGAGGCATTCAGCACATCTTCAATATGCTGAAGAAAAACCAAACTCCAAATCCACTATTTGTTCTCAGTAACTCTTTTCTACTAAATACACACAACTCCTCTCCTGCAGGTTTTCTTTTTTAAAATGGTAATTTCAACAACATATTTAACTTACCAGCACTGAACAGAGGTATCAGTAGAATGAGATGACCAATGAGCAAAAACATAGATGTCATCTTTTGCTGCAAAGAAGGTTTTTTCCTTTAGTGTGGTAAGAGTGTTCAAGCTGCACTGTCCTCTGTACCCTGCATTACTCCTTAAAAAAATCAGGAGAAGCATTAGTCATCTTGGGGAGGGAAAAAATGGGTTCGGTAATTTAGCCTCAGCCTTTGAAGACTTCAACTACAGCAACTGTTGGCCTCCACAGAAGGCTGCTCAGTTTTCAGCTTTCTACTGGAATAACTCTTGCATAAAGTGTAATTTTCTTTTGCCAGCATAGTTAAGCCAAAAAAACCCAAACAAACCAAAAACAAAAAAACCCACCAATCCTCTAGGACAGACAAGTTACGCTAGCACACAGTGATTTAAGCTATACTGTATAATTTAGAAGCCAAGCTTGATTAAGCTACTCCTCTTTCCACATGTTTACGAGAGACACAATCAGAGATGTATGAGGTTTTGTTCTTTGAACTGTTTTTGTACAGTTGAGGCAGCACTGCTTATAAGAGCAGCTGAACTTGTAGTTCTTTGTAGGAGGAAAAGCACACTGAAACTCCAGTGTGACCTGGCACTTAAATTGGCATCTAAAGCCAAACGTGTGTGGAAACCGCAGCTAATATGAATTGCTGTGGTCAGACACAAAACAAAGTGTTCAAGAATTGTAGCTTCACTTCACACCTCAGGTCTTCTTTGCAGCTTTCTCCAACAGAGACATGACTGGACACCTACTGCTCTCATGGCCCGCAAGTGGTTTCCATGAAACCTCTAAATCTTAACCAAGTCCTGCTCCCCTCTCAGATGCGCCTGCTTTTTCTTGGCAAGATGTCATTAGAGCCCTTCCCAAGCCTCCTACTATCAGCCAGCTGGTAACACACTTAACACCTTTCCCTTCTGACAGCTCCTTGTAGGTTAAGGTCTCCATTTAGCTGTCTTGCCTTTCCTCAGTTCCTGACTATTTTGCATGCTGCTCCCTCTCACTCTAAAGCAATCTGGTTTCCCACATCGCAGTCCGTTGCAAATTGTTCATTGCACAGGTCCTAGTTAATATTTGTCTTCTACCCAGCTAGAAATGGCTGGAATAAGAGATTGTATTCCCTGAAAAACACACACGGCCTTGACTTACTTTTATATCCTATGTAGTTCACTTTAGTGACAAATAAGCCATGCCAGCTCCTTCTTTTGAAACATTTCATATGCAGAAGTGTTGGGGTAGCAGGGAGGGACACACAGAGCAGAGTTCAACACTTTAATATAACAGCCTCCAAGTATGTACTTCTTTTGGACAGTTTATCTGACAAAGCACTCATACCATAGTCTTTATTTAGTTGTCTTGTATGTGGTTTTCCTGTAACTTGGCAATGAGCTGACCATCATTCTTGGAATTTCAGTTGACCTGTAAAGAGTGGAGAAGGGGAGTGGAGAAGGGGAAAAAAGGATTTTACAAAACACATCATTTGGACAGCAGCGTACACATACAAAGCCAAATTTTCTACAGACATCCTAAATATAAAAGCAAGAGTATCCCTCTGCCTACACTAGAGAGATGATTTAAAGCAAAAGAGCAACAACAAAACTTGCAGTAAAGATTGACCAAGAATTCTGGCAAACACCTTTGGAAAATGAAGTTTCTGTCAAAAACTAGATAACGTTACACAGGTATCAAGCAAGCAACAAAACCAGACATAAGTAGCCACTTTGTAAGACAGATTTAACCACTAAAAGGAAACAAAGAATACTTAAATTTAGAGCAAGATAAGAATAACTAAGCAATCCAACAGGTTAAGCTTTACATTTTGCACCCATTCCTGGTCTCCAGTACCAAGGATGGACGTCTTTCTAATATTGTATGCTAAAGCTCTTTTAAAGTTCTATTCTTTCAAAATTCACACACACACCGTCTTCAAATATTGCAGTGGTAAAGCTTAAAAACTCTGGAAAGAAGGGGAGAAGCCTCTAGCTTTTGTAGTTGCAATACCTCACAGTATATGGACCATTTCTATTCTGGCCAGTACAGTTTCAAGTGACCACACAAGGTTTTTACACTTTTTCTTAAGCAGAATATACAGAGAAACACTACCCAAAATCCACAAATGCGAAACAGCAAACTTTATTTAAAAAGCAGATGTTTGTTCACATACCTAACAACTTTAGCCTTGTAGTGCCTTCTATCCCAGTCTCAGCAATATGAAATGCCCCTGTGATACAACCACAGAAGCTCAAAAATCTCACTTATGTAGAGAGAATGGCAATTTCACTGATGACACTGCCTACATACTTAGTTTGGAAAACTGTATAAACTGTTTCAGCTCAAAGCTTGCTGGGCTCAAAGGAAAAAATGTACGTGAAGTCTTTTAAGAAATAAGGAAAAAAATACCCAACAACAACAAACAAACAAAACCCCACACCACCAACCTATCACATTTGTGGTTTGAGCTACTAAAAAAGAAGAGGTTTGATTTCCAAGTTACTTTCCTAATATTTATCTTCCCATAGTTAAAATACAACTTACTACTGCTCCTTCAAATTTCTAAAATTACTGAAAACAGAAATAGAAAACATGTGGACCTAATTTAAGGTACTGACATTTTGTTCTTTGCAGGATGTCTTGCTTCACAGAACTTGCCATTTTATTTGCCTTAGGCACACTGCCAACTTTAAATGCCATAAGAACAGGTTTAGAGACATATTGGGTCCCTAAGTCCGCATGCAGCGGAATTAGCAAACTTGCCCTTCAGGAAGTAGTGCAAAACACATAACTGTGTCTTTGTTTTCCAAATTTTCTGTCTCCAATTTTTAAAAGATTTTACTTCTAAATGATTTATAAATACGCGGACATGACAGATCCTTGCAAAGGCCAACACAATGAAAAAGTACTCAAGACAGTAGCCCCTCAACTGCATATCAGCACGTCGCTGTAAATTTAAGTGGCTTTCAATATTGATCACTGTCTATGGGGACTCATTACAGCAAGGGCGACCAACAGATCCTTAGCCTTTGGGCCATAAAGAACACCATAGAAATTGTGGTTCAAAGGCAACTCATTATCGTCTCTGCAAACAACATAATAGCATAGAGGTGTAGAGTGCCCCAATTTAGTGGCATACCGACATGAAAGAACTGCATTAACTTTTTAAGTAAAACTTCAATACAGTTTAATTGAAATGGCGGGGAGGGTGTGGAGAACCAAACCCACACACGGCCACTAGGTCCAAAGCGCATCCACCAAGACAATATTCAACCCACCACAACAATTCATATGGTCCACACCTTGTTCCTTGTGGTGCTTACTCCTGTCAACAGGAGTAAGCTGTTAAGCTGCCTACCAGGGTTAAACCACGACAGCAAAGCAAGATAAATTTTCTAACAGACTACATACCTTGTTTCCAGTCTACCACTTCCCTGAGGTCCCAATTTTCCTGCCTAACATGCTTAATATATAAACAAAATGCAGCTGATCATTTTACAGGGGCATGCATGAATGCTGAGTCACACAAAATGATGCACAAGGACCCTCTAGAAGTGGTTCTGCTTATCCACTG